ACATGGAACTAACCCTTTAGCACCCATTCCGTACTTCATAACCCTGTAGGGGTCAACCTTGGCCAAAGTCAAGTCATGGTCAAAGTCAAGTCATGTCAAAGTCAACATCCAATTCGTGGTCAAAGTCAACGCTCCGAGTTGACTCAACTCGTCGAGTTATTCCTTCAACTCGGCGAGTTGCCATAAACCACAAAATCGTGATACTTCGAATCAACTCATCGAGTTCTCCCTTAACTCGTTCGAGTTCTTTCCTTTTTAACAGAATCGAGTCATACTCACATCAACTCGCCGGGTTCCTTCGTGAACTCGTCGAGTTCTTCAGTCTGTTTACTTCTTCTTAATGCATTAAGCCTTTATTCTTCACATCTGAACCCAATACTCTAGATCTAGACTGGAAATACCTTTTAGAAGGGTAAAGTTTCAAAATTTACCCATTAATCCCTTCCTAAAGAGAATAAGCTCAAATCCTAACCCAAAAAGGGACAAGGTCTTAATCCAAAACCACCAAAACTACAAGGTAGACCATGAGGCCATAGATCTGGACCATAAGAACCAAAATATCACGTAAAGTTCCCAACTCTCTCTACATGCATGGCCGTTAGAAGCTCAAAAGGCCAAAATGATGGCTTAAAGGTTTCATGGGACTTCCATGGCCATAAATTTGGCACCTTTATGCCATGAACGTCCTTCAAGACTCTAGATCTGAAGTGCTTTCCATTTGGGACGTCCAACTCTCAAGAACAATATCATTTGGACCAAAAACAAGCAAAAGGTGCTAAGAAGGAGATCTAATCAACTATTAGGCAAGTTTGAGACTTGATTACTAGAAAGTGACGAAAATGGAGTGAGGTTTCTGGATCTAGCAACTCTTCCTTGTTCCTTCAAACTTTCCTTCCTTCCAAGAGCTTCAAACACCCACAAGAACACTCAAAATGGCTCACAATCACTCACAATAGCATTATGGTTTCGAGATCTAGGGTTAGGAACTTGGAGGCTGGAAATGATGCTAAACCCTAGGGCTTAAGTTGTTTAAATAGGGTGCAAAGTCTCGATTTTAGGGTTTCCCAACCCCGTCCAACTCGTCGAGTTGGTCTTCCAAAACACGTGCCCCAACATTCCAACATGTCGAGTTTCTTCCCCCAAACTCGACGAGTTGATCTTAGAAATGAGGTTTTATTCCCATAATAACCTTCTGAAATCCGGGTGTTACAGTTTATCTAACATTCTTGGCATAAGATAATAAAATAATAATATATTATTAGCACAAAAATGTTTAATTGATGAGAGATTGTGTTATACGGATTATAATTTGTAACCTACTCAATATCCTTTGTTAATGAAACCATTTGAATATTAACATTTATTTGTGTGTAAAGTTTGTAATTAGTTCTTAATTCCAAGTGTCGGTGATTTCAATTATGTAATTATCAACTGATATTCGACTTGTACTTGAAGATATTTCAATCATGTTCAAATCAACAATCACGAAATTGATCCAATATCAATCCTCCTTCTCCATAGAGATTCTTGGTTACATCAAAAGCAAATTGCAAAATTGATCCAATATCAATCCTAAGTATGCCCATACTTTTGTTTTCAGCGCCGAATCATCAGGGGACCCATGAATATCACTTATACCATAGGTCAAAATGACCAAATTAACATTCACATAGACCCCACCCACCCATCATGTAAACCTAAACATTCCATGTATGGCTACCAATTATACACACATTCGAGAACGGTATGTCAGATATTTTGGGACCACTAATAATGTATATAAATAATGTTATCATTAACTTTATATTATTATGGAAATTATATAAAGTTGTTGATGAACTGATTTATTAATAAATGAAGATAAACACTAGTTATATTTATCTTGTGGGTTGAGTTCCTGGTTTGACTCAAAATCTCCTAAATCCCTAATATCTCTTACATTCGGTTATATCTTCATCTATATAAATACGTGATGAAAAGCAGATCCACGATACAGAATACATTCATGAAAATTCATTTTTATATCTAAGGGGTTTTAGAGAGAGTTCTTGAGATCGACAGGAAAACCAACCCTAGACTCTAGGTCTGAGAATCACAATGAAAGCAGGTATTGCTACAAAAAGAATTTTCATCTTACTATTTTTATCTATCTTGAACTTATACTAATATCTTGGGTAATCCCAAGATCTTGGATTGAGTCAATATCTTGGATTGCCATTGTATTTCTTGTAATATCTTATGCAAAGACTATGAACTTGACTAGAAAGGAGTAGAGAAGGTCAAAAGCATATGTTCAAAGCCTTGTGAACGTTGAAGACCATCAAGAAAACAACGTCAAGCATGGATCAAAGAAGTTCCCTAGAATGTCAGAATCTTTTTTGTTATCATTATGTATAAAAAGCCTAGCTGATCATCATTTACACACACACATACACACACACACACACACACACACTCTCTCTCTCTCTCTCTCTCTCTCACTCACTCTCATTCTCTCGACACTCTAGCACTTTTACACCTACTACAAGATCAACTAGCACTTGTAATTTTCTTTTGATTAATATAAGTTCTAAGACGGATAATTTGCATCACCTCCTGAGGTTTTATGTCGAATATCCAAAAGGATTAAGGGTTTTCCTCGTACATCATTGTGCTCGTGCATTTACTTTTATTTATTTATCGTTGTTTGATCGATAACAACCTTTTCTCTTATTTACTTAATTGTTAATCTGATTTTATAGTCAAAATTACTAAGATATCTTGTGGTATTTTGGTGTCATTTTGTTTATCTTGAGATTCATTTTACGAATTGACTTGGTAAACAACTTTAAAATTATTTTTGTCTCAAACACTTAAAATACATTTATTTACATAATAAGATAATACACTTTTGATAAACAGTTTCCTGAATATCACTATTTTCTTCCCAAAATCTTGGGCATAACCAAGATCTTCAGCATATTTCAAGATCTTAAACACTTTGATTTTATATATTTTATTTTAAACATTACACCAGACTAACTAATTTGGTTACAAAATTAGTTTATTAAAATTTTGACCAAAATAACTATGTAATCATTGTTCTTGTTTAAGTTTTGTTTTAACCAGATTCGAGATAAACATCTAAAGTTTAAACTTCTGTGTTTTATGTTTTGGTTATCATAATAAGCAACAATTGACATTAGGGCCTACTCGAATCTATTACAAGAAAATATATTTTTGGTTGGTTTGAGATTATAACACTTGTTTATAAGTTTAAAGATCTCTGGAAACAAGTTTTAAGATAAACGTACCTGCTTATCTTCAATTCTTTTTTTCTTGGTTTCATAAATTGTGTTCTTGACCGACGATGTGAAAGAGAACGTGTACGATATGTTTTTTGTTCCCTTCTTGATTGTGCTTGCTATGATAAATTGGTAAATATGAAAATCACATTTTTATTCCTTTTTTTAAGCGTAGCAAATACAAAAGGTACTTTATTCTGCTATAAGATTTGAGGGAAAGAGAGTTATGAGTTTTCTTTTTCTGTCATCTTTTTGTGTATGTGTTTTACTGTATTTATGAGTTCTCAAACCATAACATTGTCCTGTTCTATGGGATAATATATGACTATCTTAGGGATATGGCAATGTAATTATGTATATATGTTTTTCTTAACCCTTTTATATTTTGGAATAGCAAATATGAATCATGTACTTAAGTACGTTTCTCTAATGCTAAAATGTGAGTTCCAAATCCACAAAGTTGAGCAGTCACCGAATACTAATCAAGTTTAGACTTCCCCTAAAACTGTTCATGTGAAGATCTCATAATCAAATCATATTTTGTCTTCAAAATTTTAAAACATCTCTTGTTCTCGAATCATAATATACTTGTAAATCTTCAAAAGAATAGCATGTAGATAAATATGAAGTATCCCAAAGTAGAGTGTGAATAATAAGTAATCTGGATCTGAGACACATCTAATGATGCTAGAAATTTGATCATTGATGATCAAAAATCAATGTTATATCGCATCACTAAATAAATCACCATCTTTAAATGTCTCGAAAATCAAGCTCAAACAATAAAAAAATAGGATGTAATGGTCATATAATTTTCTCCTCCTATTTTTTATCACAAAAATAAATGAATTGGGTCCGAGAATGTCGGGATAATAGGAGCTTCACATGCTCCCCCTAAATGTATGAAGAGTCTTGATAAAACATGAGATGAAAATAAAATAAATACTTTCGGGTCGTCTATAAACGGTTGATATCGTTGCTGAATTATCTGAAAAAATACCAAAGTATTGATAAAATTCTGCTAGAAAAACCTTTATATGCTGAAAAAAAATTAATGTACCCATACAACTAAGTCGGAATTCCTAAGTAGTCATCTATTGAGAAAGTTTGTTTGCCTGAGACATTTGGTTCATCAACCATTGGTTCGAAGCTACATGTCAATTGTCATATACATCTCAAAGAGTGAATATTGTGGGACAACTTTGTTGATAAGACGACAACTGCTTATGCGAACCTACTGAGATTGATTTGATGCTTGGTGTGCGATGTAGAGGATAATTAGTCCTAAGACAAGACAACTAATCTAATGACTGCCCGGTTGAAATACCTTGATAACTAAAGGGGCAGCCTTATGACAAGAATTATAAAAATTCTCTCAATATAATCAACAAAAAGATATTCGTCATAACGATCCATATATTGATATATGTTATACAAATACTTTCAATGGAATTATGGAATGTGATATCATAAAAATGTTTGTAAATCAACTCATGCCTTGTCAATATATTGATTACGTATTTATATAAAAGTCTATAGCGTAAATAAGCAAACTAATAAGTTCCTAAGGTAATACAAACAGTTATATAATAATATATATGTCTAATAACTTGGAATAATTAAATTTCTCCCATTATGCATCTTAAATACTTTTGTTATGGTTACTTCCGTGCTGCTTGCGTGATTGCAGTGTTTTGCTAGCTAGCAATAACATAATTTCTTTACAAACAAGCATTGTTCATATATATACCCTCAATATAATCCAATTACATGGAACTTATTTGACAGAATTGTTCGAATAAATAATCACAACCAAATCAAAAACTGAAAACAAACGATAAACCAACAAACCCTCCAAAAGAGCAAAAGAAACTTTTGACAACTGAAGACGCACCATTCTTAGTAGGAGGTGAAGGGTTCTCTTCCACTGGAGCAGGAGCCGGAGTCATGTCGATTTCCGGTGTAACTGGAGCAGGTGGAGGAGATGGAATCTCTTCACTGACCGGAGCAGTAGATGGGGCTGCAGATGGAGACACAGATGGAGACGGAGATGGAGTTTCAGAAGAGCGATTGCTTCTGTTTGCTAATACAATAATCACAACTTTCTCATTCTTTTTGCAGTGATCTATAACACCACTGATGAAGTAATGTGGCCCAGATTGGTTTAGCTTGATCTCAGTATGACCATCATTGTATTTTGCAATGGATGATGTCGTACTGCAATTTTTGTAGTCATCTTCACTTACTTGAAGCACAGAGTCCTCGTTAGGCTGGTAGCTAAACACTACATGTACATATATAAACACCAAATCATTTCCGTAATTGAAAACTATAAAGGGTGAGGTACTCATAACTCATTGCATCTCCACTTTTTTTACTATTGTAACAAGTTTTTCATAACTTTTCTTTACATTAATTTTATGATGACCATTTACTTTTTTAATCATTGAGTAATTATTTGTGTTTATTTTTTTACAGTTTACCCTTTGCTATAAATAACATTTTTATTTTGTACCTCTTAATTATTAGTATATATTATGTATAGATCTTTTTTACTTTCAACTAAATAATTTATTTTATTAAATATGCAAAATAAAAGTAAACTGTTTTTAGTTTTTACAAGAAAATATCATTAAAAAGCATTATTTATCGATCAAAATGATATCAATATAAAATTAAAGAAGCGTAACAATCATGTAATATTTCTATAACTCTTATTTTTACAACTACATAGTTACAATCACACAAGTTTGCTTAAAAGCGACAAATTAAAGGAGTCGGCTTTCTAAAATATATCAAATAAACGAGAATAAATGTTTAAAGGCCTGAAACTTACTAAGGGTGTCTCCGGTTTGAAACCTGCTTTGTTGTGCCCATTGATCATAGGAAGAAGACGATGCAAGGCTCCAGTCACCAGAACCTCCCACCTTGAACTGGTATGCATGGCTGTTTCTGACAACCAGGAAAATACTTAAAAGCCCCAGAACGACCAGCATTGTTCTCTTATGAGGGCTTCCTGTATTCATTGCAAAAGCATGAAAAAGAAGGGCAAAATGGGAAGGAAAATGAATGTTAAACATGGGAAGATTGTAGAGGGATATTTATAGCCTTGTAGGAGTGAATCTTTTCTTTTCTTGTAATGTGGTTTCTTGAATTGCAGTGCAAAGCATAATTATAGCTAGCTTTTGTATTTGAAGGTTATGCTTTTCTTTATCATCACCAAAAGAAAGATATACTAAAGTTTTATAATATCTTTATGCTTTTCTTGAACAACGTTTGATTTTAAAACCTAAACAAATTTTAATTTTGTAACTTATATGCAATACTTTGTAGAACATAATTCATAAACGAAGTCGTACGTATAAATGCATGGTCATCTCACTATTTCCCTAGTTTTTTTTTTAAAACGAAAATATGGTTGTTTAGAAAATGTTTTACAAAGATAGGGTGTTCTGAACATTTTATAAAATCATAATTGTTTTGAATCCTTTTTGTAAAAATAGGGTCCTTTGACAATAAATAAATAAATAAATAAATAACTTAATACGGGTTTTAATCTATTATCAAAAGTTATTATTTTAACCGGTTTTATAACTTGGCTAGTATATTTATTTATATTTTTCTAAAAAGTATGTTTTATGTATAACTTTATGACAAAACTTCATAAATGGTGCTTGTGGTTTTTCAAAATTTGGGATATAATTTCTAACTTTAAAAAACCTTAGAGATCGTCCATGTGGTTTCAAAACTTTTGACATATAGTCCTTTTTGCTTACTCTGTCACTTTTGAGCCGTTAACTTTCAAATGATTAAAATAATAGAAGGGCATATACATCATTTTACTTGTAACCTTCCCTCTTTATAATCAAATGCATTTTTCCTGTTGCCTTCCAAAAAAAACCCTCTTCTCCTCTTCTCCTGCGACCTCAAGAATCTATCAAGAAAGTGAAGATGGTGATTTGTCGTTGTGGAAGAGAAATAATGAAGGTGACATCTTGGATTGATCGTAACCCTGGTAAGCAATTTTGGAGTTGTTCAAGCTTTGGTTCAAGATGTGGGTTCCTTGGGTGGGTTGACCCTCCAATATGTCGTAGGGCATAGTGGTGATTCCAGGTTTGCTCAGATCGTTGAATCGACTAGAAGAAAGGCTTGGGGCTTGCACGTGCAGAAGTGTGGAATTACCAATTGTTTTGTTTATGGTTGTTCTTTTTTTTTTGGTTTCATTTTAAGAAGTAAGGTGGTTATAGGGTTTGGTATCGGTTTCTTTTGTAAGTAGTTAAGTAGTGCAGGGGTTTTTGGATGGTAATGGGATGTTCTTTTTGGTCTCACTTTGTTGTATGTAGGTGTATGTAAGACATCCAGTTAATGCAAATGTAATGGAAGGTTAGTTTGTAAGAAATCAATATTTTTAATGGTAGTGGAAAGTAGATTGTTATAAATCAATCTTTTGGATGGTAACAAATTGTAGATTGTTATAAATCAATATTGTGTTCATCTCATTGCTAATACACAAATGCCAGAATTCAGGGGAAATAAATTGATTTCTTGCCTTCAAACACGAACAGACACATACACTCTAGAAATCGATATATTGCCTTCAAATCTCGTTTCGTCTTCAGATCTCGGTTGAGGAGACGAATTTTGATTAGGGTTAGAGATAGATCCAACGACATCACCGTTTGAAACCCTAGCGTTCATCGGAATGGCGACGACGGTTGATTGCTAGGGTTTTCGGTGACTGATTGCTAATCTAGATCTTGAACGAAAACCATAATCGACAGCTTGAAGAAAAAACGAAAATGAGAAAGGCAGCGACATCAGGTTTCGATTGAGGATTTGGAGATCTTTTTGTTGACTATGTGTCATTTTCAGATCATAGGGTTTCTTTGTGTTCGCCTGAAAATCAAGGGTGTTTCAGATCAGAGGTTTCTAGGAGATTGGTGGCCGACGGTGGTGTTGGTGGCGTTATGATAATTTGGTGGTTGTCCTTTCTGGTGAAGACGAACAGCCTTTCCTCCCTTTCTCCCATCTGTTGAAATCGAAGACCTAAGTTTACACCTTTTTAGTATATGCTTAAATCGAGAAGTTCATTCAAAACGTTGATTATCTTCAGAAATCAACAGCCCTTTCATTCATCCATTTCCACCAGATCTTGAGAGGGTGGGGTGGGCCTAATTCTTTCATTTTTAATTTTTAATTAATAAATTATTAAAGACAATATGAAAAAAATACAAAAAAGAAATAGAAAGGGCAAAACAGGCTTTTCAAGTTCTCGAGGACCAAAACCACATGAAAATCTTGATTTTGGATCATCTATGCAAGTTGGAAACTTTTTGGACCCTATACAAAGTTTTTTGAATACCACAGGGACCAATTTTGCAGTTTTGTCTACATAAAACCATTCAAGTACGTACATATAACGTTAACATACAAAACATAGCAAAATCAAATCCATTACATATAACCATTCAAGTGGATACATAACTTAGCAACTAAACCATATGATTTAAGTTTCAAAAGACATAATGACCCAAACAACCAAACACCTATGCACACATTTCAACTTTAAACAACCAAATCATGACATAAGTTTCAAAAGAAATGATAACCCAAACTACCATGCAACTACCTGGCAGAATTTCCAGACCCATTCCTCTTACCTTGTTTGTTCCCTTTTGCTCCAACTTGACCAATGCCCCTGCCCCTTACATATTCTGGAATTATGTCCTTTGTTCTTACACTTTTTACATGTAACAAATAGATACTTCCTGCACAATTTGTTTCGCTGGATTTTGGGCTCATCAACACCCATTTTCCTCTTTTGTTTAGGCCTCCCAACCTACACATATGCATATATTGTTGTTAATTATGATAGTTCATATACAAAGTAGTTAGTTATGACAATGAAATAAGAACATGTGTGTGAGTTTTAGGGGAGTCAAAGTGAATGGACAGTTACTCTTTGGCCACATTGAATGACCATTAACTAGATCAATTTTGCTCACATATATGGCTCTCCATGTTGACAACCTATATCAAGGATGGACCCAGTCTTCAACATCTAGGATATTCTCTCCATTTTCAGTTTTGTCCCAAATTGCACAAACAACATGTGTACATGGAAAACCTGTAATCTCACAGGTCCTACAAGTATAAGTTCTATCATTTAAGTTTGCCACAAATTGACCTTTCCATGTACATGTTACTTGGTATTGTCCTTCCCCATTATACTTAACTATATACTAAGAATTTGTATTTAATTATCTAAAAAAGTTCAGTTGTTATAGGATTTAGGAGCCCTTAACATTTATCTATAACCTTTTACACAACACATAATCTCTTCATGAGATACTCTCTAATATACTCTAAGCAGATGATGATAGGTTCATCCCTACCTTCATTTATCTTAGAGTTAAATACCTCACAAAGATTATTCAAAAGATAATCAGAGTGTGACCTACCTATGCAAAACATATATATATATATATATATATATATATATATATATATATATATATATATATATATATATATATATATATAAAAGACATTTAGACAATTTAAATTTAACATATTACAAATACAACTATGTAGTAACATACCACTGAAATTAGATTTAGACCAAGTAGTTGTTGGAATCTGACACAACCAAGCATGAGCTTTATTGTTCATTTTCTTCAAATCCTCCATTGCACTATTAAAGTGATTGAGTGTTGTTTCTCTACCACATTCCTGGACCTGGTCCCTCAACTCTTTTCCTTTCCACTGGATCCTCATATTTTCCTAAATATGCCTTAATAATACCTATACTTTGCACTAGGGAATACCTTTGTAATTGCAGGTATTATCCCCTAAACAAATCCAAATTATAACTTGAGTTAATAGAAATCTATAAAACTACATTAAGATGACATTAAATGAGGTTAGACATACCTTTTTTCTATCGAAAATGAAGGTAAAATTTGAATTAGGTGCCAGATCTAAGTATTCTCCTAGCAAATCCAAGAACTAGGTCCAAGAACTAATATTTTCTTCTTCTACCATTGCATATGCAATAGGGTAGATTCCATTGTTTGACTAAAGGCCTATAGAAATTTACACTTTCCTAGGATATGGGCCCTTCATGAAGGTATCATCCACTCCAAGGAAATACCTTAACCTAGCTTTGAATCTTAGCTTCAATGCACCCATACAAATGTATATATTCTTCTAAAAGTCATTGTGGTACTAGACATATTAGTTTCTGGATACACATCTATCCTTGTTGTTGTACGAGGATTAGTATTTTGTAGTTCTATAACATAATCCTAAGAAGCACATATTATACTTGGTAGTCCCCACTAATGATACATTTAACCATAGTCTTTGCCCTGGCAAGCTTATGATTTGACATTCCAAGCTCCAGTTTCTTGCACAACTCCTCGTGCAAAGCTTTTATTGGAATTCAGGGTTGCCTTGAATTTGTTGTACAATAGTTTTAGCTAAGAATTTGGCAATGCAAGATTTAACTGTGCTAGTTTGCAAACATTTATGGTCATCCTGTACTGCTTTCACCATCCAATATTCATTTTCACTGGGCCTCGATATTTGCACCACCCAAAGGTATATTCCTTTTTTGTTAATTACAGTTTTACCCTTGCACTTTACTTTACTCCTAGTTTATGGTCCACCACATTCACCTGATTCATTATATTGACCTACAACACCTTCACATTTCACCTTTATTCTGATTTTTTCATCTTTTGCAAGGTAAAGGGACCTCCTAGTTTGTACAACATGTAAACTCATGAAGTTTTTAACATCAAACTTTGTTTTGAAAGTGTCACCCACCCTAAGTGTTCATGTGAACATGTAGTTGACCTACTCAACTCTTTAAGCATTCTCTTCCTTTCATCTTCGTGAAAACGTACAAACTGATAATCATCAATATCAATAACTTCTAACTCTTCATCAAATATGTTATCCCATGTATTTTTGGTTTCATTGTTCAAAATTCCTTGTCCATTTACATCCACAACATTATGGAACTCACTTATATCCATATCCACATCATATAGTATGTTTGACTCCTCTACATTGT